GAGGATGATGATGGAGATGAGGAAGGAGTGCTCTTACTAGCACACAAAGAAGGAAGCTTAACAGACGACGCTACGTGGTACTTGGATACCGGGGCGAGCAACCACATGAGTGGTTATAAACATTTATTCACTGAGTTGAAGGAGGCTGAGGGAGGAAATGTATCTTTTGGAGATACATCAAAAGTAGTTATCAAAGGCCGAGGAAAGGTTAAATTTCTGCAAAAGAATGGACAAGAGGGGACGATTGAAAATGTACTCTATGTCCCGAGCATGAAGACAAATATCATAAGCATGGGACAGCTTATGGAGAAAGGGTATTCAGCCGACCTAAGTGGTCGATACCTACACTTGAAGGATAGACGAGGTCGGGCCGTCGCCCGGGTACAGATGGCCAAGAACAGAATGTACAAGTTGGACTTGAGAAGCGTAAACCATAAGTGCTTGAAAGTCGACCTGACGGACAAGTCACTATTATGGCACCTACGTTTCGGACATTTGAACTTTGGAGGATTAGCCGAGCTGAGCAAAAAGGGCTTGGTGCATGGACTACCCAAGATGGATTTTCCAAAGCAATTCTGTGAAAGCTGCGTACTTGAGAAACACACCCGGGCGAGCTTTCAGAAGACTGCCAAGTACCAAGCCAAGGGAGCATTGGAGACAGTCCATACGTACATTTGTGGGCCGATCACGCCATCATCTTTCAGTGGGCGAAGGTACTTTATCACCTTTATTGATGACTACACCAGGAAGACTTGGGTATATTTTCTAAAAGAAAAATCGGAGGCCTTTAAAACATTCAAAAATTTCAAAGCCGAGGTGGAGAAGACAATCGGGCTGAGGGTGAAAGCGTTGAGGTCAGACCGGGGGGGAGAATACATTTCAGACTCTTTTACAAAGTTTTGTGAAGAGGAAGGAATTAGAAGATTCCTTACCGCCCCGTACTCGCCTCAACAGAACGGGGTGGCCGAGCAAAAAAACCGGAGCATTATGGACATGGTAAGATCCATGCTCAAGAGCAAAAATATGCCAAAGCAATTTTGGGCCGAGGCGGTACGATGTGCGGTGTATGTACAGAACAGGTGTCCGCACTCAAATCTTGAAAATCTAACACCTCAAGAAGCATGGAGTGGTCAAAAGCCGACCGTGTCACACTTGAGGGTGTTTGGGAGTATCTCTTACGCACATGTGCCCGATCAGAGACGGACAAAATTGGAAGACAAAAGCAAGAAGCTTGTCTTCATTGGCTATGATGAGAAGACAAAGGGATACAGACTATATGATCCCGAGGAGAAAAAGATCACAGTGAGCAGAGATGTAGAGATAAATGAAAAAGGAAGCTGGGATTGGAACACAGAGAAGGAGTACGTCCCGGACGGGACCTCAAATAACGAGGACGTCCCGGACGGGACCTCAAATGACGAAGAGTCCCCGGGCGGGACCCCAATTCCAATCCCGCTCGGGATGACACCAGAACCAATCGGGGCGGGATCTATGACGACCTCGGGGGACGAGGAAGAAGAAGAAGGGACGAGCCGGCAAAGGTACATAAACATACATGACATATATGAAGCAGCTCCAGAGGTTCACATGGTATGTCTTCTAGCCGATGGGGAGGATATTACTTTTGAAGAAGCCAAGCACGATGAAAAATGGAGAGATGGCATGAACGAAGAAATAAAAGCGATTGAGAAGAATCAGACCTGGGAACTTACCAATCTCCCGAGAGGTCATAACTAGTGAATTAACTAGTTTTGTGTACAATCTATTTTTTTTACTAACAATGAAATTAATGCACTTTAACTTTAACTATAATTAGAATTACAACTAGTTTTTTAAACTAGAGTCAAATGTAGCAATTAATAAAAAATTGTAATAAAGTAATTAACTATTAATCTAACTATTAATTCGAGTTATAGCAAATTAGTATTTTAAAGTTTACTTTAATCAAATTAACTAGTAAATTAACTAGTTTTGTGTACAACCTATTTTTTTTACTAACAATGAAATTAATACACTTTAACTTTAACTATAATTAGAATTACAACTAGTTTTTTAAACTAGAGTCAAATGTAGCAATTAATAAAAAATGGTAATAAAGTAATTAACTATTAATCTAACTATTAATTCGAGTTATAGCAAATTAGTATTTTAAAGTTTACTTTAATCAAATTAACTAGTGAATTAACTAGTTTTGTGTACAACCTATTTTTTTTACTAACAATGAAATTAATACACTTTAACTTTAACTATAATTAGAATTACAACTAGTTTTTTAAACTAGAGTCAAATGTAGCAATTAATAAAAAATTGTAATAAAGTAATTAACTATTAATCTAACTATTAATTCGAGTTATAGCAAATTAGTATTTTAAAGTTTACTTTAATCAAATTAACTAGTGAATTAACTAGTTTTATGTACAACCTTTTTTTTTACTAACAATGAAATTAATACACTTTAACTTTAACTATAATTAGAATTACAACTAGTTTTTTAAACTAGAGTCAAATGTAGCAATTAATAAAAAAATTTAATAAAGTAATTAACTATTAATCTAACTATTAATTCGAGTTATAGCAAATTAGTATTTTAAAGTTTACTTTAATCAAATTAACCAGTGAATTAACTAGTTTTGTGTACAACCTATTTTTTTTACTAACAATGAAATTAATACACTTTAACTTTAACTATAATTAGAATTACAACTAGTTTTTTAAACTAGAGTCAAATGTAGCAATTAATAAAAAATTGTAATAAAGTAATTAACTATTAATCTAACTATTAATTCGAGTTATAGCAAATTAGTATTTTAAAGTTTACTTTAATCAAATTAACTAGTGAATTAACTAGTTTTGTGTACAACCTATTTTTTTTACTAACAATGAAATTAATATAGTTTAACTTTAACTATTATGAGAATTAACTAGTTTTTTTTAAGTAATGTTAATACAAAATTAAACAAATGTAAATAATAGAATAATTCCGTACCTCTTTCGGAATTTCGGTCTTTCGGATGAGAGTAATAGAATGACTTCAAATTAATTAGATCTAATTCCAACTATATTAATAGATATAATAAATGTATAAGTAATATATAATTAGATAACAAATATAAGTAATATAATATTATAATGTATGTATTTATAATTTATAAGTAGATAATTAATATAAAGTAGATATATAAATAATAAATATAATATATTGGAGAATAAGAGAATTAGAGAGTAGAGAGTTAAGAATAAGATTTAGGAAGAATTGGAGAAGAGATATGAAAAAATGTTTAAGATTAGGAGTATCTATAGGTTTTTTTACCCCCCCCCCCCCCACCCCCAAACCCCCGGACCCCCCCTGCACCCCACCCAACGGCTATATAGCCGTTTGGGTTGTCCCCACCCCACCCCTCAAGGCCATAACGGCTAGTTTGGGCAAAACAAACAAAAAAAAAATTAAAAAAATGGACCGTTGGACCCGGACCCAGGCCCGGGTCGGGTCGGGTCAACTTTTTCCGGAATCGAGCCCGCCCCGCCCATCCCCACCGATTCGGGTCTACACCCGGTCCCGGGCCCGCACAGTAGCGGGCCAGGCCGGGTCACGGGCCGGGTGGCCCGAACCGAATCCACCCCTAGGTCAAATGTTGTATGTTGTGAAAGACTAGGAATTCGAGAACTTTTTAAAAAAGTAATGCTCCAATTCATAATATATTTTGCAGATTAAGAGCCCATTTGGTGATTCTATTTTTCGACTTATCAGATTTATCAATCAACTTTTTAATCAAACACATAATTTTCGATTTCACGCGCTGAATTGTGTAATAAAAAACAAGTAAGATTGAACTTACTTTTCTTACTATAGACTGAAGTTACTGTAGATAACCATTGTAACTATTTTGTCATATATTTTTTTCTTTATTTTATTAGTAAAATATATTTTAAATATAATTTTTTCATAAATCAGCAAAATCAGCCAATACAGCCACTTCAGCCAAAACTTCATAAATTTCAACAAAATCAACCGATTTCAATGTCACCAAACGGGCTCTAAGCATATAACTTATAAAATGAAAAAATTCCATAAATGTTACTATTTTAAATGTGAGACAAAAATATTACTTATTAACTATTATTGACTAAATTATGTTCAAAATTTACATCGTAGTAACTAAATGTAGATTACTATGATATAAACTTTAAGCACTATTAAGTAGGGATGGACTCGGGCCGGGTCAACCGGCCCGTAACCGGCGGCCTGACCCGGTACAGTTTCGGTCCGGCCCGGCCCGGTACCCGGTCATATACACCCGAACCGCCAGTTTTCGGGGCGGGCTTCGGGTCTCCAGAAAGTGAACCAACCCGGCCGGGCCAGTTTTACTTTTTCAAAATCTTTGGAAGGTAAATGGGTTGGGCTGGGTGTTTTGGAAGGGTTTGGGGTGTGGGGGAGGTGGGGGTAGGAAGTAATTTGAAAATAAACAAAAAAATCGGGTCAACCGGCCCAACCCGACCCAGGCACGACCTGTACCCAGCAGCTACCCGAGCCTGTTCCGGGCCTCAAGAAACCCAAAAAAAACCGTCAAGCCAGGCCCAAACCAACCCGAGTCCATGCCTACTATTAAGTGTAAGTCAGTAATAGTTATCAAGTCACATTTTTGTTCATGCCATTTTCATTGGTAATATTTATGGAAAATTCTCTTATAAAATCCTGTACATGTACTATCATCATATGATAGATTTTTATCTCCCTTCACGGCTTTTATTTTTGGGGTTGGGATAGTGATTTGCTGGGTTGGTGCATTTCATTGTGTATAGATTAAGGATGTGAATATGTTTTTGTGGAGAGATCTTGGTTGGATCCCTTAGCAGACTTGTGAGATAACTGAAGTGTGTTACGCAGAAAAGATAAAAAAAACGTTCAGGCACGCATTGTGCCATTATCTGGAATTTCTCATATATTTAACCCGGGATGATGTAACACCTTCATTTTAATGATGTATCACAAACACAAGAGGTTCTATATAAGCTCATGCATTGCAACAAGAAGCAAAATCTCAGATTCGGGAAACCAGTAAACCAAAAGGTTATTAACAATAATAATTCAGCAAAACTAGGTTAATCAGGGCTACATGTCAATGACACCAAAATCCATAGTACTTTGTCTCAAGCAATATGCCAATGGAAAATATCTGTACTTATCAAATATGGAGTAAGAAATAATCAATTACTTTGAACATCAAAGATGAATTATTGCTTAGGGGGGCGAAAGAGAGGAAAGAATAGTTGCAGTTTGCAGATCAAATACAATACCAGAGAAACGTCAATCATACGTGGGCTCATCAACGTCGCCCTCATCCATGTTGAAGTCATCTTCATCATCGTCAAAATCAACATTTTGCTCATAGTCGCCATCATCACTAGACTCTTCATCTCCCTCAGAATTCTCTTCTCCTTCCTCGTCATCTTCATCCTCAGTTTTCTTTTCACCCTGGTCAATGCCCTTCTGTTCAAGCTTCTCAAAGACATCCAACTTTTGCAAATCTACCTCTTGAGTCCAGCAAACTCTTTTTGCAGGACGTTTCGTCTTCCTTTCAGCTTTAAACAATTCAGCAGGAAAATAATCTGGGGTAATCAAGATGAAATCCGAAAGTGGGGGTTTCGCTTTAGATCTATCTGAATTCATGTCTGAAAACCTTTCTATATCCACGCTTTCTGTTTTGTTTGAAACATCGATTTCATCGCCCAGAAAGTACGCTGAGGAATTCCAATACCTCTTCAGCCTTGCATATGAAAGTGCTAGAGATCTCCTTTCAGTAAGCATGTTTGCCTTACCTAAGTTCTCATCCTTGATTTCTGGAAATAGTTCAAACTTTTGCTGCTTTCCAAAGGAAAATCCACCACGTCCTCTTCCCCCTCTCCCTCTAAATGCCATTTGAAATTCGAAACCCAGATGCTCTTCAGAGTAAAAACCAAAATAAATCCTCTAATTTTATATACATTTATATAATATACAACATTCTGCAACTAGGAGGGTTATATCGATGGTATAAAAAGAACCAAGATATCTAATACTCTTGTAGTATCAAAGTAGATTCAGCCTTGCTAAACTTCTAGATCTGCCCTCATCAAACTTTACTCTGACAAAATTAACTATTGAAATTTACGATCAATACATGCTTCTTTGTTATGAAGCAGCGGTCAATCCGAGCAATTTTGGATGCCATGTTCACTATGGGTCTTCCGGAAACAGTCTCTCTGCGCTTTAATACAGGGGTAAGACTGCGTACATCTAACCCCCTTACCCCACCGTAGGTGGGAGCCTTTGCGGCACTGGGGTAATGATGATGATGACATGCTTCTAGGGTTTGGTTTGGGTCAGGTAGGGTTGGAACTCGGATAATCTTAAAAGAATATGAACCGCCGATTCTGCTGATCGGGTAGGTATGAGCCGGGTACATGAATACTTATAGTAGGAACCGAACCTTACCCGTCCTGTTTGAAACTGGTTGGTTTGGTCCGGGTTTTTGGGTATTAGTCATGGATTGAACCAAGATGTCCTCTTTGAAATTTGAAATCTTCATAATCAATAAAAGTGATTAAAATAACACACCCCAAATCAGATAAATTATAACTCCAAGTCTCCGTAAATCACTGTCATTTGAATGAGCAGATCCAAAGCACAAACTACTAACGCTTTTTCTAATTTGCTAGCTACTTAAACAACATTTTTATCCTAATTTAGTAGACTATCTTAACTATCTGAAATCTGAATAACATTTTTATCTAAATCTTGTTGACTGTTTGTAAAACTAAATTCACATATACTCCTAATAGAATATCTTCCAAGCTAGTTAACTAGCAAAAATTCTGATTTATATTACATAACTATATTAAATATCTATATCTTGTTGACTGTAAAACTGAATTTACATATGATAAATTTAGATTGACTACCTAGCAACACTTTCATCCTAATAGCATATTTTATAAGCTAGTTAACTACCAAAAATTCTGATTTATAGTAGCTACTATATTAAGCATTAAATTAAACAAATTAGAATAAATATGTTATTGGTATTATTACATCAAATGCATTTGAAGTGCAAACTACACACACCGTTCAAAACAAGTCTCCAACTAGTTTGATATACTCTTTCAGCATAGCAGTTTTATACTTTCCTACTTTCCTCCTCGCCACCTGATGGTTTTCATTTGATGTATTCTTGTAATTAGCATATCGGTTTTATACTTTTATCTATCAACCAAGAAAGCAAAAGATATAATAAATCAAACAACAGTGCAAAAGATATAATAAATCATACAACAACAAGCCAAGTACATTAAAACAAGGCTAGCTGAATCTGATTCAAAAGCTGAGCCTCAAGCCCTCAACATCAGGGCTGGTCCTGTCTCTTTCAAGGCCTAGTGGAGGGTAATATAATGGGCTTAATATTAAAAAATTGCAGGTTAATTATATTCTGTCTAAACTAACCTGCATAAGAATAGCAATAATTCAAAACCTTTAAAAAGAAAAGGGTTTTAAATTCGTTAAATTAAACTAAGTAGAATCACAGTCACAAAATAAAAATAGAGAAAATTTAAAGTTACTTAAATACTATAAAAAAATTAATTCAATAAAGAAAAATTTTATCCGACCCCAATATCTTTTGGGACTAAGGCTTGGATGTTGTTGTTGTTGTTGTAAAGAAAAATTTATTATAATTGAAATATTTTACCAAGATGTTTTTATAATAGTATAGACAATCCAAATTGAAGTAGATAACAGAAAAATCACTAATAACTTTTAATTCAAAAAGTTGACAATTACGAATTAAACATCTATATCGCTACTCAAATCAATTAATCAAGAAATCTACTAACTGCTACATCCACATTCAACAAGTGCAGTCGTGCAGAACAAATTAACAGCCAACAATCAACAATTACTACGTACGATTTATGAATATGAACTGATCAACATACAACAATTAATCATTTATCAACACTCAACACCTATAAACTAATGAACTAATCAAATGATTCAAATAATAAGTAAATGATTAATAAAGGTAAAAGAAGAGTGGTACCAGAAGGTGAGAACAATGGCAATGGCTTGGGGAGGTAGGGCCAAGGGGGCAGGCACCTGGGCAGTGGGCAAAATCGCAGCCTTGGAAGGCCACCTTCGCCCGTCCACAGAAGTGAGAAGATCAGAACTTCAGAAGTTCAAGTGCAGGAGCACCCAGCCATCGAGCACCAGAAGGCAGAAGGCAAAAGGCCGAGCAAAAATGCCAAAAGGGGAGGGGGCGCAAGGGTGAAATGGCGTTGAACCGTTGCTGGCTTGCTTTGTGACTGTGTCGGCGATTTGGCGACTAGGTGTATTGGTGTATCGACGATCGTCTCTGGTCGACTCCTCTGTAATCAGGGGCAAATTTAGCTTTTTGGCGTGCACCAAACCTTGCTCTGATACGGAAATTCGGGAGCATTAAACCCTGTAATTTTAAAAAAGGATCAAACCGCCTTGTGTTTTAATTAATCATACACAGAACCCGTTTTATAAATAAATTTAACGATTTCGAAACCACTTTTCTTAATATTCTGATTGAATATGTAAATAAATATGTCAAAATATCTAAATCATACAAAAATGTTATTCATTTTTCTTTTTTTGACAATTGAATTTATTCATAAAAGGGGTTATGTGCATGATTAATTAAAACACGCGGGGGGTTGATGCATTTTTTAAATCACAAAGATCTAATGCGCCGATTTTTCATATCACGGGGGTTTGATGCATTAAACCCTTTGGCACTCAGGGGCCAAAATTAATTAAATAACATACGTTGCAATAAACAAAATTAAAGAAAAATAATATTACCTGAGTAAGAGTTTTAGTCAAAATCAAATATAAAAAACACCACAACTTTACGATTGTTCATTAGCTTCTACTTTGACCAGGTTAAAGTATCTCTTTATCGTCATTAATTTTATTGAAAACAATGAGATTTCTAAATACCACCAATACTAACTAAATAATGTGACTAATAATAACAAATCACAATCAAATTAATACTAATATAAACGATGCTCACAAAAAAAAATCAAGGTTAGAAATCACATTCATAATAAGAGGGAAATTCTATGGTACATCTACTAGTCAAGGTTAAAACTCGTGAATGACTCACTCAAATAGTCAAATGACTCACTCAAATAGTCAAATGACTCAAAATCTCAAATCAAATGTAAATTTACTTAATCACGTGAATATAAGGTCATAAATCTGCCTAAAGCAGTAAAGCTCAAATCCTAAAATCTGAAACACTGAAAGTGTGAAGAATAAAACGAGTAACGGCTTAAAGGAGTTAAAGAGTAAGAATTCAAGAGTTAAAGAATACTAATATGTAGAAAGCCCAAGTTCTGATTTAAAAAAAAAACTAAGTTCTGAAATTCTGGAATCTGGATTGTAATTAAAGGTGTTAAACTGAATATAAAAATACCATAAAACTAAACAATTAAGAAATTACTTGCTATTCAATAGAGGCTAAGAGGAGGCTGTCGAGTGTCGAGTAGCGGCTAGAGAAAGAGAATAGAGATCAGAGGTTCTCAGCCGCTGTGCGCCGACCATTGGACGAGTCGACGACCGACAAGCGAAATCGAAAAGTCGAGTATGCGGAATAGCGAGTGGCCGATTCAATTGCCGATTAGCGATTCTGCTGCAGCTGTGTGATCCGGTATCTTGGATTTTGGGCCTTTGTTTTAATTTTGGGCTTGTGACAATGGATTGCGGACAGAGCGGGTGTTTCAAACTGGTTGTTAAAAAGAGGGAAAATATCACAAATAGGCTTGAAAGGAAAAGTAATCATGCGTATCACTTATTCACTTTTATCATTTTTTCACAAATAAATCATGCCGGTCAGAAAATACTCTGTATTAGGAAAAATAACTACTCCGTGTAAATGTATTTTAGAGATGATGGTCATCGTCGTCACCGCCTTCCACCATAACATCCATCGACGACTGCCTTCTGAACTCATCTTCATCAACTCCATCCAAAATGGCCAATCCTCGAAATTCCAAAACCCATAGCCGATTTCCTTAAACTTTTAAATCTGAAATTCGAGACCTTTGAAATTCTCAGATTCAAATTTTTGTCTGCCGAAATCCCTAGTCTAAAAATCCTTTACCCAAATTCTATTTTTTTTTGTTCCAAAATCCTTCTACAACGAATTTATCCCACAAAAACTTACTCGAGATATACAGCCTCGAAATCCTTAAGCCGGACACCCGACTTCCTTGCACTCGAAGTTTACTCATAATTCCAATACTCGATAACCACCTCTTGGAAATGGAGCACCGAAATCCTATTTGCCAGAGTTCTTTCATCCGAAGTCTTGTCTAAAACCTACGGGAAATCCTACAAATTGTACCCCGAAAATACATATCACCGAGATCCTATATCCTGAATTCCTTAATACATATCACCAAAATCCGCGTACTTGTGAGCAATCATCCTCAGCCATAGTTTCTTGTCCATCATCTAGCTCTGAACCATATCATCTCATCAGCCACCCTCCTCCTCCTCCTCCTCATTCTCCTCATTCTCCTCCTCCTCCTATTGTTCTATTTTTTGCTTTGAAATTGATTTTTCTGATTTTTCCTCCATTGCTCTGTTTTTTTAGTTTTGACATTTGATTTGTTGATTTTTGGACTTCTATTTCAAATTTCTGTTTCCTGATTTCTTGATTAAAAAATAACAATTTTCCAGATTTTTGGACTATGACATACGATTTTACCAAGTTTATAGCATATTTTTGGATGATGATATACGATTTTGCCAAATTTATGGCAGAAATGTACTCCGACAATCATATATTAACATGATGGCAAAACACTTTTTGTGTAAATCGTTTTTATTTTATTTTTGTCTTTAAATTCTTATTTCTGTTAAAGTTATTGATCTATTATTATTTTTTTGTTTTTTGAAAATTTAGTTGTGGACTTCATATTTTGCCAAGATTATGGCAGTTTTGTGTAAACCGGTCAAGATAAAGCTGCCAAATTTATGGTAGATCTGAAAATTTGTTTTCAAGGCAGATTTGTAAGTACTCTTCAAGGTCAAATCTGCCAACTTAATGGCAAATTTACGAAGGTGGGCTATGACGGCGGTTGCGATGCTCGGAGGTGAAGTGGTGGCCATGGATTGAACACGGACAGCAATGACGAGGATAGGATGGTGGCGGCGGAAGTGGATGACGACGCCGTTTGGGCGGCGAAGGATGGCAACGATGCGCCGACAAGGATGCGGCGGGGGTCGGCGAGGATGACGGCCGACAACGACGACAGTTGACAGCAGTTGGCGGTAGCGGGCGGCTCCAGCTCTGGCATGCTAGCAGTTAACAATCTAGTGTTTCAACAATTTTTTATTTTTCATATTTAAAATCAAAACAAAATAAAGCAAAATTATTTTTGTCCAACTAAGTTGAAATTGATCCTATATAAGTTGTCTTTCATTGACATTCCTATATGTGGAAAAAAATCACAATTACCGGCAAGAGTAGTCACTTTCCGGTTAATTGGTTGATATGCTTCTTTTTTGAGAGAATAGGACCATTACTAGACTTTACGATATAAAACAACCCAATCGATTCAAATCGTATATATAATCAAATTTCGAACAAAATCAGGTAAAATCGTAATTAAATCGTTCCAAATCATTTAAAATCGCGATTTACGTACGACTTTACGATTTATACTAAAACGCAGTCCAGCTTAACGAACCAGCTAAAAGCGTAGGGCAAAGCCCGTCCACGTCTTTAGACCCGCAAGAAATGCTGGTGCTTATAACTGAGTAGAAGGCTAGTATTTATAATAGTACCGAGAGGAGCAGCTTTAATCTTCCTCCGGTGTGGGAATGAAAGAACGTAGTACAACTGTACAAACCTTTTCAAAACACCATCCGTATTCCTTTGCTATCTACTGCGTATGTAGTAACTATTTTTTTTGTTCCAAAAAAAATTAATTACTTTGGAACAATAGTAATTAATTTTTTTGCTCCATTAATTTCCCCAAGCCACCGTTCATCCCATCCACTGGCCACCGCTGTTCGCTGCTACTGCCGACCGCGCCCTGCGCTTTTCCATCCCCGCACTACTTAGCCAGGTACGCAAGGTTTCTCAAAATTATTGTTTTTCTTTTTGCAGACTTGGTGTAGTTATGCTCAAAACCCCTTCTTCTTGATGCTTTTTCTTTTTGGGAAAAGAAATCAGTACCTCGTGTTCTATTTGGAAGGAGGGTTAAAAGAAACTAGCAAAGCTATTCAGAAAATGGTAAGAAAAATAAACAATAATGAGTCAACAATGTTGGAGAAAAGAAACTGGTGCCATTCGTCAGTCTTTAATTCATATGCTTTAAAATGGCTGTGATTTAAGAGATAGCTTTCTGGTTTGAGTGGTGAGAGAAGGCGCAATTTCAGATTCCAGCACCGCCTTTTCGGTAATATTATTTTCTCCTCTGAATTGAATATGGATATCATTGTCCTGGAACTGATGAGCTCCTTGTTCTGAAATGGTGGAGCTCCTTTTGGTCTTGAGTGACATCTCTCGGTCCTCATAGAAAGTCAAAGTCATCCAATAGCGATGATTTCTCGGAATAACTTTTCAACATGTTAAGCATTGTATATGTGTGAATTTCTTATGTACATATATGTGTGATGCATAAAAGCTGTTTGATAAAATGCTTATGTTAGTCTTGATAATATTGTATGCAATTCCCTTATGGGGGAAAAGTAATTACTTTAACTAGAAATGACAAAGTTTTTTGGGATGATCAAAAAAGGAAATTTGGTCATGTTTTATGGGACGGAGGAAGTATAATTTAGGAAAAAGGGTCAAATACACTCTTGTACAATCTAAAATGCACTTATGAAGCATTTACTTGAATGAGTCGGGTAGGATCAGGTAAACAAAAATAAAATCATTTCGGGTATGATCCTTAATGCACTTGTGAAGCATTTACGGTTTTGTACTTCTATTTTATGAACCGTGAAGAAAAAGTAAAAACAAATCATGCAGTTTTTATAACAAAGAAAAGTTTTACACTAAAATAATAAGTGTTCTTTAGATGCGGGAAATCAAGAGAGGAACAGAGATGTGAGTTCCTTGCCCATGACAGGTTGAAAAACATCCGACTTTCCAAAACTAATCATGCATTGAGATTGAATAAAACAAAAGCATTCTGAATACATAGATGGATAAACAAAAATAAACCTGCAAAACATTTGGTTAAATTAATAGCCAAAGAAGAAGTTCATAGATGCTTGTAACGGTAAGTGAGTAAGCAATATACAAGCACTACTGGAGATAAGTGCAAAAGTCATAAAAACCACAAAAGCATCTCCATAATTGAGATATCCAGTATTAATAAGCAAAAAAGAAAAATGAAAACAGTCCATCCATGTGTGCAACAGCAAAAAACAATGATGTTGATCAATCAACCCCTAGCTCCAGAATCTCCAGAAAATGTTTCACCATTGCCAACCAAAGAAGATCCACCTGAAAAAGAAAAAACACAATTTAGATATCAAATACTTTAAAACATTAAATTTAAATTCAGAATGTAAAATATAAATACCTAAATCTGCAATATCATATGCCTCCATCTTCTCAAGGTCTATGTTTTCGGCTGGAAGAGAGCCTCGAAGCAAATTTTGAGTGCATATAAACTCTTCCACTGTCTTGGGACTCAATGAGCTCCTAAATGGATCTAAGATTCGGCCACCAGTGCTAAAGGCTGACTCGGAAGCTAATGTTGACACGGGAATGGCCAGAACATCTCTTGCAATTTGTGAAAGAACGTCGAACTTGGAACAATTTAGCTTCCACCAAGATAATAGATCAAAATTCTCAATTGTTGGATCTTCAATTGGATCTGCCAAGTACCTATCGATCTCATTCTTGAAATCACTTTCATTCTTTTGCTTCATCTTTTGAGCAAAAGAGCCCCATAGACAGTTTCTCCCTTCCAGACTAGCATCAGCACTCATACCTGCAAATCCTTCACCACAGTTGCTATCTTTTGTCCCATTTCCCCACCCAAAACCACTATAGAACTCAAACAAACGATACAACGTATCTTTCACTTGTTTAGGGAAGATTTCATGAACGGGAGATCCTTGATAAAAAAGGTAGCAAAAGCAGTGAGTCAGAGGGGGTGAGATTTGCAGGGCTAGGTGTGTCTATTGTTTCTAAGCTTAAATTAACTGAATCAGACACATCAAGTGAATCCATCTACACAAAAATAACGAAAGAAATTTCTGAATTATATGAAATAAATGAAAATTTAAGAAAAGAATAAAACTGTAAACCAACTAAGTGTCGGATTAACGAAGCAGATGGGTGCATACCTCTTTTCCTAGCTCCACTGATCAATTCTTCTTGAAGCCTTGAAGGATCCTGAGTTCTTGACTGCCAGAGAAAGAAGATGAAAACCAGACTTAGGGGCTTAGGGCTGTTGATTGCATATAAATAGGTAAAATATCCTAAGCCTATTACGAAGATTGAAGCTTTCATGTTTTGAGAATCGAAGAGTCGAAGCAAATTAAAGATTGAGAGCATGGATGAGGTGGGAATCGGAAAGTATAGAGCCAGAGAACAAAAAAAATTAAAGGAGAAATGCAGAATATGGAGAAGCGCATGTACGGATATTAAATTAGGCGGCAGGGTCGGGGGGTTATCGGGTTTTTCATGGGAATCCCGCAACCCTACCAAAATGTACGAGCTTTTAAAAAATAAACCCACAACGTTTTTTATGGGCCCAATAACCGACTAAAGTCGGCCGGGTAGGGTCGGATCGGCCGGGTTTTGCGGGTTCGAGGGATTTTTGTGCAGCCCTATCCATAAGAGATGTAAGGATAATATTTAAAGTATGATAAGAAAATGATACTTTCATTTAGCGGTGGGCTGTGGGCATTGGTTCTATTTTTATCGGTTTCAGTTTGGAACGGTGAAAGAATTATTAACAAACAAAGATAATAAGGAGTACTATTTTTTGGTTTGGTTTGGTTTGGTTTAATTAGGTTCGATCCGATTTATATTTATTATTTTTAATAAGGGGAAATCGCACATTTGACCCCCCAATTATCCACCATATTAAACTGCCTCTCTATCCGTTAGTTATTTACAACTTACAACTTCATAACAGCGAACTAATAACAGCAAGGATACTGGATAACCATAGCTGTTATGAAGTTGTAAGTTGTAAATAACTAACGGATAGAGAGGCAGTTTGTTGGTAGCAAGGTATATAAACAAGACACCACAGGTCTTACAGAGACGTTGCTTAGGAGGGCCTTACAGCCTACCAGGCCCAAGTTCGGTCCGGTTTGTATTTCTAGATGTGAAGCTCTTACTCTGATTTTATGGAACAATGAACTGTTTTTTTGACCTACCTAGTAGTCTAGTACCTAGTTTTCGTATTGAGGGGAGTGAAATATTCCATGATGGGAAGAAGGGAGACTGGGAGAGTATTCATCAATGACAATCTTTATATCACAAGAGTGAGTTTTGTTTTATTACTTCCTATCCAGCTTTACTGGTTACACATCATATTAGATTCAGCTGAAAATAAGGGGCTCACATGCATTATAAACATGTTCATGTTCATATTTTGTAATGGAATTCACCATCCACATTTAAAAATATTGAAAACAAAGTCATAGAAAGATGGTGATGACTAATGCCCAGCTTCTTTCATTCTTCGATGATGGGGATTAAAAATATCTGAATGGAGGTGCCACTTTTAGTGATGATACTTGAAGTAGCATATAACTTTGGTTTTTAGCAGTGATTATATGACTAAAACTCTCTACATTAGAATAACACTCTGTTTTAGGCCAACTTTGATCTCTAGATACTATTTAGCTATGCCATTTGCAGCTTTTTTATGAATTTGTATGTTACTACGTCAGTATCAACAGTTCCAGCCTCTATCTATGCATTGCATTATTCTGCAGGATAGGCCTTCTAGATCAGGGTTATCATTAAAAAAGGTTGCATCTCCTGAGGCTAATCAGGACTAATTTTGTTTGTCAAAAAAACATTGTGTCTAATTGTTCCCACAATTTTGAAGTTCACTAACCTTCTCTGAATCATTATCAGCAAGTATGGAGAATACAAATGTCCACACCTCTGGAATGATGTGGTTTTTCAAAGACAGAGGGTTTGATGACAAGAGTATCCACTTAATGTTCCAAAAGTGCAGGCGTCTTGAGGACGCACGAAGTGAAAATGCCTCGGAAAATTGGGATTACTTGAAAAGCATAGGCGTTATGGAGAGGAGACTTCCTTTCATCATCCGAAAGTGCCCCAAAATCCTCACTCTCGGTTTGCACGACAAACTGATGCCTATGGTTCAATGTCTTACCACATTAGGAACAAAGCCCAACGATGTAGCTTCTGCCATTACCAAATTCCCTCACATACTCTCCCATAGTGTTGAAGAAAAGCTCTGCCCTCTGCTGGCCTTCTTTGAAGCTCTTGGTATTACTGACAAACAGCTCGGTAAGATGATTCTCCTAAACCCCAGAATCCTAAGCTACAGCATTGAATCAAAGCTCTCACTGATTGTGGATTTTCTTGCCAATCTGGGCCTGTCCAAGGAAGTCATGATCGGTAAAGTCCTGGTGAAATACCCGTTTATAATGGGTTATAATGTCGAAAACAGGCTGCGACCCACATCTGACTTCTTGAAGTCATTGGGCCTGACGGAGATTGATCTGCAAAGGGTGGTTCTCAATTTCCCGGCAATTTTGTGCAGAGATGTGGATAAGACCTTGAAGCACAACCTGTCTTACTTGAGATCCTGTGGATTTGAACTTTCACAGATTGCAGGTATGGTCACCCATTACCCTCCTTTGCTGATTAAGAGTATCAACAACTCTCTCAAACCGCGGATTAGGTTTTTGGTGGATGTGATGGGAAGAGGAATTGATGAAGTTGCTGATTATCCAGACTACTTCAGGCATGGGTTGAAGAGGACCTTAGAATTGCGGCAAAAGCTTTTGATGGAGAAGAAGATAGAGTGTAGCCTGAGTGAGATGCTGGACTGTAATGAGAAGAAATTCATGTCTAGGTTTGCTTTAGTGTAGTCTAGTAAAAGACCTGCTCCATGCTATATTACACTCTCATTACTTCTTTCTTGCTTTGCTTACCTCTGATTTGGTTTAATGACCAGCTAAGTATTAAATTTGTACTTTGAGTTTTTGCGCCAATTTATGGGTAGCCAAAATTTCGGAAATGAGTGCCACTGTGCCAGTATGAAAAAGAGGATCAAGGTAAACAAGTAAAGTCTGCACATTAAAAAATCTAGAGCACTGAAATGGGCATTACTTTGACAAAAGACCCGAGATACTTGATACTGTTGATACTCGTATGTTCAAATGTCATTAGCGTCATATTCTATGGTGTGTTTTACTCATGTAATAGGCAATACTGAACGTATTAACTATTTTCTATGCATATGCAACTTTCTTGTACATTATAAACAAGTAAAATCTACACATTTAAAAAATACATAAAAACTGCCTACTCTTTGCCTTTAATCAACATCATTGCATACGAAAATTTTAAAAATGAAAATAGTAATTGGGGTTCATTTTGAGGAGAAAATTTGGGATGGATGAAAAAACACTAGAAAGATTATTTAGTGGTGAAATAATCTTTGATAAAGAAATATTAAGCAAAATAATTTACAATACAACCTTGTGGTCTTAGGAGAAATTGTTCCTATGTGTTCATTGATAATAATGGGGTTAATATTTTCTAGCCCCCGGAGCTAGTTCGAGTAGACGCACAATCAGTGCTTCTTGCTATAAATTTGGTGGACTTTGACCAATCGGTGACCGATCTCTTATGAGTTATATGGGAACCTTAAGGCATGCACAATCAATTAGTTAATTGTGATTTTATGTATACGGTGGTGTATATTTAACTTTGAGAATCTAAGAGATTGTTCGGGTGACTCAGATTTACTTTTTTGAGATTGTGGGTTCTAAAAAGCATAAAATTAGTCCGATGAAGTCGAGCTAAACTAGTGCAGACAAAAATTTATATTAGAGTCATTCAAGAGAATAAACAATGACATACTTACACATTGTATATTTTATCCATCTCACTAAACTTTACTACTGGGGTACTACGTAACTTTTCAAATAAATCATTACATTGTTTTAAAATAACAAATCCATGGTTAATAATTCTCTCTCACAAATAGAAACCATAAATACACATTTTTTATTTTCTTATTTTATGTGGCAACTAACCAACTTCCATGGAACAATGCGACAATTGTACCAAACTTGAGACCTTTAGATCTCAAATGTTTGATCTTTTAATATACTACATACAAAATTATCAGCGAGAGATTACGAAACAAATATTAAAATCTAAACTCAAATATATCAATATTATTTTGCTCTTGTGCGCAGAAATCACAAACACATTTTTTGCTTTCTTATTTAACTTAACAATTGTCAAGTTTATAGAACAATGTCACAATGGCACCAAACTTGAGACCTTTAGACTTCAAAGAATTGATAATTTTGTATCTAAACCTATCATCAGAGAAATTAGCAAACTGTTATAGTGTTATTAAAATGTAAACTTAAAAGTTGTCAATATAGGCTTCATAAACTTATAGTACAGTGGTAAGTACTAAGATGTGGTGACCAAGTTTGATCTCTAACGGTCTGCTCTTTCTGTGGCAGTATTGCACTCTTTGGCATTGTAGTATAGTCGTAAGTATTCCCACCCTACAGTATAGTTTTCAGTTAAAATAATGGACGCACCCAATCGGCCAATCCCAGTCTCCTTCTGTATTCACACCTAATACAGTGTGAAAAGTGTTGAACGAGAATCCAAGTTCATTGAAGAACAACTGAAGGGCTCGAACTTGACTTTATAAATTTACTGTATGACTTTAATTGCTTCTTCTTGTCCATCATATTTACCAAAAAATGTTGATATAGAAAAGATTGCAAATGACAGTAGTATTGGGGGAAATGTTCAAGGCTATTCCACTAAAGTTGTTGCAAAGATCTGATAGTTTCTACTACCCCAAACATCACTTTTGTCGACGTAATAAGACTTCAGACAGCACTCAATCCATGGAGGAGATCTAAAAGCATTACTACCATAGGCGCTGCTCGCAGGAACACCAAGCAACAGATTCCACTTTGTTGTTAATTGATCAGCTGATGGGAGAGGTCTAAAGAACTCTTCCTGTGTAAATGAGATTCATTCATTATTCAACAAAACCCCAAAAATCCGTACATAATTCCAACATGAGGGGTCTAAAGTCTAAACTCAAATGATGGTTTTGGAATTTCATTTCACTGTTCTTTTTTAAAAAAAACTGTGGTCTGAGGGGCACCAAGCACAAAACTTTGTCAATATGCTGTTATGCATAGTAATTCCAGACAATCAATCGATTCAAGCCATTGACCCTAATATACTTCTTATGTTCCAGTTTATTTAACAACTTTGAGAGTTTTGGGATTCATTTCATCTGTCCATTCAGTAAAGTCATGGACATTAGTTACTGTTCCCTATTATAAACTTAGAAATTAATTATGGAGCACATTGGGAAAATGTGTAGTGAGTTGCATGCTTTGACTCAATTAAAAATTCTATGCAAAGTGACGATGATGAAGGTGGAATAGAACTATATTTACCGCATCATCTGCATAAAGAAAAGCATGGATTCTCGCAGTTGGATCTTCTAGTGTCAACCTGACCCTATAGGTCCCTGAAGGAGAGCGGAACTCTGAAACTCTCCAAGGCAATGATGCAACTACCCGAACCACACACCGAAACTTATACGTCACCTACACCACATAAATTCGATACTTTAACGGAAAAGAAGCTGTATTGAGCAATTAAGCATGCAAGGCATGATCTTATACGAATAATTCCACTTTTAACAGTTTCACTTTTTCAGAAGAGCATTGTGACGCATATAGGATACTTTTCAAGAGGTAAAACATATCTCATCAACAACAATGTTATAAAGCTTTGATTGAGAGTTAATTTTATTGGAAAAACTTTAAATAAGACTACATTGGTTCCCCTAAGTTTGGTTAATATTGATTTGATAAAGTAAGAATGATTTACAACCACACACACACACACACACACACACACACATATTCTGGATAGATATATAGGAGTTGAGTGGGGGTTGAGAGGGGGCAACTACCCCCTTTTGGATATGCCCCTGCATACCCACCTGGCCCGTAAAAATCTTGAATTTTTTCCAGAATTGATACAACAATTTAGAACACTTAAAATAACACTACAACATTTTAAAAATTGTTAGTGACTTTATAATGTTAGTATGTCTCTCATCACACATACAAATACTGCTAGCACAATAATAATCATAAAAGCCTATAACTAAAATTAATATTCAAGCACACAATATTAACTTTAAGTGTAAGATTTTATACGGTATTATATTGGATTGAGCTAGAAGTTAAAATCTAAAAACTAATAGTTAAACATAGTGCACCTTAAATATGCACAATCATAGTGGACAACATATTACATACAATCATACATATGACTATATATGAATAAATAATAGGGAAAAGTACATAAAAGGTACTTGTGGTTGAGAGCGTTTATGGATAAGGGTCTATGTTTCATTTCTCCTCAAAGTTGTCCTCGCGTTTTAAGTTTGTTACCACCTGTAGGGTCTGAAGGCAAACTCTGTTAGTGACAGCTAAGGTGGCAATTCTTTTTAAAAACTGGCCCCATATGTGGCCAATTATAACCTAGGGTGGCATCCAAGGCAACTTCTTCAACGTTGTGTGGCACAGAATAATGATGATTTCTCGAGGTGGTGAACTTAGAGAAAGAAGACGACGAACAATGACCCTTTAACGAACAATCCACACATTTAAAATGACTTTTTCTCCCAGATTCAAGGGTGAATTTCCTCACGCCTGCAATATCCACGATTGGATTTACATTTTTTTGGATTTTCTTGCTCTTTTGAACTCTTTCTGAAAAAAATATTTCGCAGAAATCACTGTTCATCAACGGACTGATATTGACCCATATCCCAATTTTCGTATGTACAAATTATTGATGAATTTGGCCTTGCCGCCTTGAGAAGAACCTACAAATCCATTTTGAGTTGCTCAAAACACCATTTGATCCATTTCTTGAACTAACCCTTGGTCGGGATACTGTTCATTTTCTGCGCATCTCAGAGCTTTCGGGTTGACCTTTTGGCGACAGAGGTGTCTGGAAACAAAAAAATGGTTTAGAGGTCGCCTTGACCAAGCACACCTCCCACTATTTTTCTTTCAATTTGCTGGAAACATTTTAAAATCGGAGTTATTGTTAATTGTCTTCCTCCCGTGAACTTACTTCTAGGTAATGGGGAATGATGAAAAAATTAACCAGTCTCTTGTTGGATGGTCTTATGCCACCTCATCTGTTTCTAATGGAGTTTGGCTTCGAACCCCAAGAGTGATAACGGGCCTAAAACGCGAGGGCGACTTTGGGAAGAAATGAAACATTTTCCCATTTCTGAAAACACTCGAGACCACAAGTATTTCTTTTTTGTACTTTTCACAAACAAATGTGTGTGTATTAGTTAATTATTATACTGGGTCAGACTTATTAGCCCGAACGTGCCTAAACCTTATCCCAAACCCGCCCATATATTGTTTCACGTCTGATGGATAAATATATATGTCCAAGTGTGCCCATTTATAAGGGCGGACCAGACGGGATGAAAGGGCCGGCCCTTTTTTGTACAGTCCTATAAAGGAAGAATGGGCGGGATGAAAGGGTTCCTAGAGTATCGATGTCCCTTTGTATTATTGGCAATGGCACATTTATCTTAACTTTGTTAACATTTCCTATACTCTAACAAAAACACAGATGAGTAACCATATTGGTGAATTATCAGGCAGTAGGTTATATGATTAATGATTAGTTTTACCAGCACATGCCCCTAATTGTTCTCAAAAGACTTTCGAAGGAGACGAAAAAGAGAAGGTGGTATACCTCTGAATATGTTAGAACATTCATCAAAGTGGTGAAGGGTACACTTGGACATGAAGTCTCTGAATTTAATGGATATTTAATGAAATCATTAAAGCGCAGATACCATGCTAAAAAATAGGATACAGAATTACAGATGAGCATAGCAACCATACGTGTCATTCCAGAATGCCATGGAAAACTTGATAGAGGCATGCATCCTAATTTTGATGACAAACGATCATCATAGTTCCTGTGGAATACAAAAACATATATAATATATGCATCACACAGTAGAGTACTTGCTCTTGTCTTAGTAGAGAAACATATAAAAAGGTCACAACTAGATGAGGTCATGAAGAAAAACTAATATCGTTCTTCTGTTGCTTGTAGAGCAGTTTTGTTGAGTGTATTTTAATTGGAATAAGAAATTTGGTAAGTGTTAAAGTCAATATCATCCTGCTAGTAATTGAATATAGTATGTGAACCACAAAATTAAAATACATGTAATACTGATGTATAATAACGGAACGAAGACTTTTTGTATGCCAAACTTAATATAGTAGGGGGGTGATTTTTTCAGGGGGATAAGGGGTATAGTCTAGCATTTAGTGTGTTCTTATTATGGTCAGGAATCTTCATCTGGCTAGTGGGATATATACTTTTTGTACAAGTGTATTTTGCTAAAAATATGATCCAAATGGTCTTGTACACTATGGAATATTGGAATATATAGACTGATAAAAGGAAACCAAGACAAATATTCATGACTCCATCCCTATCTAGTTTGTTTGGCAACAGCAATGATATTAATCCCACAGTCCCATCAATTTTATTAAGCACTACTGCAATGTAGATGCTGCAACTTGCAACCCCTTTAATCTTGCATGTCTCGTGATATATTCAATCCCAATTTTTGAAGTGCTTCATCTTTTATGTTAAAAAACAAGCAGATCCATAAACCATTTTAAACTACGTCAAAGAAAACCAAGCACTAAGCTCAAGGAACAATACCTTTTACGTTGTAATACAAGGTCGTTGTCATCAGGCAGGTAGCCAAATTTTGAAAATGGCCCTAGAACAGCACGCCACAATGACGAACTAACTTCACACCTCAGGGTTAAGAGTTTAACCCATTGACCAGTTTTAATGCAGTTGAGACCAAACTTTATATTGCAAGAATCTACAATCACTCTTAAAACAGTTCCAAGTGGTGGGAATGTACATAAAACATTTCTTGATAAGGGAATAGGTTCCAATTGTAAAGGCAGTGAGTTTTCCATTTCATCATCTAGCCTGTAAAAACATAAGCAAAAAGGTTCAAAGTAAAAAGTGAATTTTCCTTATAAATAGATCTGGAAAAGGATAATACACCTCTTTGTCTGACCAACAATGGTGGTTGCCATGGCACGATGGAATGTTGTAGTGTCTTTGAAAGCCACAAAATTAGTCAATTTGTGTAAAATAATTTTATAGATGGATTTGATATCCATACGTAAAAAACATGGATTTGGTGATTTTAATTAAATTAATCACAGATAAATTGGAATTTTAATGAATTTGTAACACATTGTTTTTAATCACTCTAGAAAAAGAGTGATTGCCTAAATGGGAGTAAAATGATACTTAAATTCCCAAATAGGAGTAGGTATATTTTTATTCCCTAAATAGGACTATTGTTCCAAATTTACCCTTCTCCTATTTTTTCAATCATTTACAGCAGCACATCGTTCATCTTCTTCTTCGCTCACCGTCCATCTTCTTCGATCTACTTATCTGCTCATCATCTCTTTCAAGTTGTAAGACAACGAGCTTTGAGGTGCTGCGAGCGGTGAGCAGTGAGCGGCGGCAATACTTTCTTCTCCGGTCATCATCTCCGGTTGCAAGCTTGCAACGGCGAGCTTCCAAGTGCAGCGAGCAGTGACGACAAGCAGCAGCGGCGAGAGGCGGCGACTAGCGTGGGAACGTCGGCGAGTAGCGATTCCAGATCTAGTTGCCGGAGTGAAGTAGCTCATAGTTCTCCTCCTCTTTCCTTCTCCTCCTCTTCTCTTCTCTGGTTCTCTCTTCTCCATCTTCTGTTTCGTTGCAGGTCTGTGTTGAAAAACATGAGATGCTCTGTTTCTTCTTTGTTTATTAAAAAATACCAAATTATACTCTGAAAATGCCATCAAGATTGCATTATGACTCTTCACCAATGCCATATTTTGCTCTGAAAATGTCTTTAAGATGACATTATTAGTTCAAGTTGGCATCCCAACAAAAACTTTGGCATTTTTCTCCTGTCATCAACCGTGACGGTGCTCGAAGGCGTCCACAGAAGGTGCCAGCATGTTTTTTTATGATTTTTTTATAAATAGAAAAACGATTTTTTAATATTAAAATATGTTAAGGGTAGAATTTGTATAGAGAGTACTAATTACTCCTATTCTGGGACTTTAAAACTTCTACTCCTATCCTTGCAATATAGCTTTTATTTACTCCTATTTAGGAAATTAGCCACAACAAAAATGAAACCAGCGAATTATTCAGTGTAGACTTATTGATTAGTGATGATGTTGATGGAAAATTGGCAAAATAAACCAATTACATTGATCACACTTCTTGAAGGCAGTGCAAACTCAGAATTGTATAGATGTCTAATACACCCAACATGAGTAAACAGATAATAGGGGAGGGAAGCAAGGAGCTCAAACATCTGTGAGAAGTTGGAGTTCCATCTGTCACCTATGGGTTTAGTACCTACCACTCTACCAGAACATTTGAAGTTTAAATTGAAGGTAATTATTCATGCATACACAGGCTTTGCATCAATCCACAGAACATGAACTATAAGTCTAATAATTTGCCTATCAGTTCACAAACTAATTGTTCCCAGAATTTTCACTAAGATAGTCAAAAAGAAGAAACTAAAAAGCTGTAGGCATGAAAGTGTACTACTCCGTATTTTTTAAAGACCATGCTAGTATTACGAACTGGGTCACAGTTTGTGTTATCTTTTGATAAGTCACTCTATAAAATGAAAAATGAAAGCACAAGTACTTACTTTGTATTTATAGAAACTGGCGGGGTGTCTGTACCATCCCAAACAAAGAGCATCCATTCATCTCTTGTTGTTTCACGTGCATGAAGAATCTTATTCATAATTTCAATTTCCAGTAAGATGGAGCACAATTGCACAAATTGGGCAATTGTGGATAAGTAGGCAGTGTATAATGTCTGTGATATCGTTAAGAGACTGAATTACAGTTGAATACCTTACAAACTAAATTGAGGTCAATGGCTTCCTTTAACTCTTTCAAATGTAACAAATTAGCAGGCCCTGTCAAGGGAAGAAGACCATTAGAGGTAGAGGAAGAGGAAGTATATAAAGAACTCTTATTACAAATATATTCTTAATTAGAAAAAAAAAATGTCACCATGCTTGTCACTGAATCACCTGTATCAATTTGTTCACCAGCCAACCAGTCTCGTATGCCCAGTATAAATTGGTTATCTCGTTCACTGGCACGAAATTTAGCAGAACACTGGTATGGTGTAAAGCTTGTACCATTTTTTCCTTCATATAACGCAAATGATGAGAACTTCTTGTGGTATGAAGCATTAACACCAGCATCAGGTCCATAGTGTCCATAGCTTTTCATCTGCACAAGATACGTTTTGTCAGTAATTTTTCTCTTTCTTACAACTTTGAAGCCTTAAAAGCGACCATTTGTTCAACTGAGCCATTAGTGTAGTTGGTTCGACCAATTCGGAATGCTTATTTAGTGTTACTTCCTATACTACTCAGTAAAACATTATAAGCATGAATGCAAACAGACCAAAATAAAACCAAATATGTTCATAAAGCCCTGTATCAATTTTAGCACCGCGGCTACGGAATAATAACTCGGAAGACTCAACAATTAGGCAAAAGATGGTATATTAGTCGGAATCTACTGGAATACATATTACTATATGCCACAATGGTTCACTTTTAATCATTGGGCAGTTCAGTAACAAACTAAACAAAAGAGAAATTCTCTTTTACAAAAAGTAAATATATAAACAAATAGATTTATTTAAAATCATATTACCACAACTTGAGAAAGCTGAATAATATCCCCCACTGTCATCACATGAGGCAGCTTGTCCACAGTCTCCTCGAAAAAATTGACTGAAATTCCATGACTCGGCCGAGACTCATCAATAATTTTGATTGAAACACAACAGTCTGCGTATAATTCACCAAAAATGATCATGAAAAGTTAAAGATGATGCACTCAGCAAATAACTTATATGTGGAGTATTGAGTGGAGTGTTCAGCAGGTTGTTTACCAGTGCCTTTGGACTGCTTAGGTAAGCCACTCTCAGTGACAACGCCGATGAGATTGACTCTTTGGTTAATTGAAGCAATGGCGTCTACTATCTGAAGAAACTTGTAGTCGTCGTTTCTCAGAGACATTTTCGTTCTTTAAATTTTCTGGGCAAATGCACGGTTTCGATTTTTTTCTTGGTACATGGATGGAAATTTATGGAGCAGAGGAGTATAAGTCTTTAGGATATACTCTCTCTACGGTTTGAATGTTCCCGATTTAACCTACACACATACGGAGTATTAAAGATATAAATTTACCAGCGGGTAAATTTTATTTTTTTTACACCGTTGCGACGCTGTTTGGCACTGTTTCGACAATGTATGACACTGTTATGCAATGTTTGACCCTGTTTTGATGTAGGATAACTTTCCATTTAGGGAAATGTGAACTTTCCAACGGAACATCCAAAAAGGAAAGCGAGAACATTCCAACGGGACGGAGGGAGTAATAAAAAGAAAAGGTAAAGAAGTTTGGTGACCCTCTTATTTTGGGTTATCAGATATCGACCAACTTTTTCGTAAATGATTTTATTACTCTACTTGAATTAAATAATAATAAGAAAAACTAAAGTTGCAATTAGTTTTTTAACTGTATTAATTGAAGTTATTGTAAATGATTAGTTTAACTATTTTTTCATAATAATACAAAATTTTGAAAGTGCATAGAAATTATACTGAGCCATTTGTTACTTTTGAACTTGTCTACATGATTAGCCGATTTTTTCTTCCCTAGGGTTTACTGCCGTTGGGTCTCCTTTCTTCCCTAGGGCTTATCGCCGCTGGGGTTCGTTTTCCGTTTTCGTTTATTAACGAAGAACGGTGTTTAGGTTGTGGTGAAGGCGAATGACGGCAGTGGTCTGTGCTTCGTCAGAAGGGCTCGGCCGCGGCTTGGGTTTGGCCAAAAAGGAAGACGCAGGGGACGAACGAAGGGAGGGGATCTCCATGTAAGGAGAATTCGACGCCGTGATTACGGGCCGGAAGATCGGCCTTCTGGGGTTCCAAGATCTGATGGCATCTGTTTGGCGCCCGGGGAAATCGCTTTGGTGCAACAACAATGATGAAGAAGGGGCGGTCGAGTCGGAGGAAAATCGCTTTGGTGGAACAACAATCGTTGCGAGGGTCCGGCCTCCCCCGGAACCACCGCCAAGGGTTAATCGACGCATTTTGGAGTTTGCTTACTTATCTTTTCTGCATTTTAATTTCCAAGTTAAGACGTTTGTGTTTTGTTGTTATTTTCTTTTATGTTGTAAGACTCTTGCATTAGGTTTGGTGGATAAGAGGTCTACGGTAATCGTCAATGGCTGTTTGTTGCCCAATTTAGGTCTAGCGAGTTATATTGCTTTGTCAAGGGTGATTAACTCAGAGTCTCGGCCAAGGGCAGATGGTTACATGTGGTCCTTTTGTTATCATGTACCCCTGCTGAATGCTATTTTGTTAATTTAAAGCCACTTTGACGATAAAAAAACTATTTTTTCATAAATTAGCAGAATTAGTTAATTCGCCCACTTCAATCAAAACTTCATGAATTTCAGCAGAATCAACTGATACAACCGATTTGAGTTACCAAACGAGCTCTAAGACGATTTGAGTCAACAAACTATTTATTATACTCCTATTATATTGTACATTATTATACTTTGTATTGTATCACTATTACTATTATACTCTGTATGATATTATTATGGGAAAATGGAAACTAATAATCCAGCCTTTTAGCGGTTTTCTTACAATAGTCCCACCTTTTGATTATTCAGGAATAATCCAACCTTTGCACCTCATATTCATTCAATGGTCCCTGACCGGTTGATGACATGCTATTCCAAGTTATTTTCTTCTTTGCAATATATTATACCATAAATCTCACCTTATGGCCACATAATGTTTTGCAAAGATAAGAAAATAACTTGAAATAGCAGGTCATCAATCGGTCAGGAACCATTGAATGAAGATGGGGTGCAAAGGTTGGATTATTCCTGAATAATCGAAAGGTGAGACTATTATAAGAAGACCGCTAAAAGGTTGGATTATTAGTTTCCATTTTTCCTATTATTATTATTAAACTAGTACTATATATTCTCTTTATCCCACGAGTTTGGTGAGTCTATGATAATCTTCAAGAAATAATTACATACTTATGGCTAAAATAATGATTGTTTATAAAAATGTGACTGGTAAGAATAGTAATGGAATCATAGTAACTTATGCTCACTTTTTAAACTCAATTTGATGACACTACGTGGTAGTTACTATTAGCCTTTTTTGTATCTAAATTTTACTTCAGTAATATTTTTTTGAAAAAAAAACACAATCTTCAATTCATTTAATTAATATTATTATTATCTAATTGGTCGGTAATACCATGAGAAGTAACAAAATAGTCATTACCTCCTTCTGACTCATAATGAGTTACTTTAACTAATAAATATGCAGTTTGGTTTGCATGACGGTTACCATAATTACCATTGTGAATCAATAAAAATTTGATGTCTTCTAAAGTTAACTCGTGATAGGACTATCCCCCTTGGTTCTGAATCATGTGTACCAACGCTAGAGCATTCAACTTGAACATCAATATCTCCCAACGTGATCAAAATGCCCAAAGTAGAGCTGCTCTCCCAAAGCATCAACCTCTCACGAAACCCACTCTGCTTGCGGACTGTATCTTCTCCCCCACACGAATTCACCCATTTCATTTCTCACCACCATATCACATGGCATGAGCCATCTTCTCATGTTTAAAGTTGCGTCTACATTGATTTTTGGACCAACTGTCTCCAACTAAACCCACTACGAGTACTCCTTGTCTTACCCTGGAGCTTCGATTGAGTCTCGACTTGACCTTGGTACATACTTTCTTCACAGTCCACAGTGCTAGCCAGCAGCCCTTATAACATTTTTCTAAGCTGCACCATTTATTCTCTTCCAGATGCTCCAAAGTGCCATCACCTTCATATATCAATCAGCCTCCTTAAATGACACCAATCGCTTCTTCGCTCACTCATCGACAAAATTGATATTTCACCAAAAAGAAATTGGGTCAAGTTTCTGCCATACTGGAATCACCTCCGAACATTACTTAAACACGTGGTCCTCAGTCTCTTCTTGTCCATGGATGGCATAAATCAGTCAACCTTCAACACCTCTACCCTGCAACCCATTGTCTATCGAAAGTCAACCTTACATCAATTGTCAAAAGAAATTTTGCACTTTTGGAACTTTTGGGGGGAGGCGGTCAACTCCACATATTTATCCGCCCCAACCAACCTCTTCTTGATGAACCACGGATAAATTAGTTTCCTATAACAATTGAGAACAGAAAAAATCCATTATGCTGCCCGTCCAAATAATAACCATCTATGTTACCCCCCACATTGATCACAATACTAAGGATCTGTTTGCTCTCTTCCGGTGAAAAGAGAGTCCGTACATTCTAAAGTTCACGCTAAGCCATAACCAGAACAAAATCATAACAAGATTCATATCTTGAATACCCACGCCTTTTGGTGAAGTAAGCTTACCCAAACTCGGTAGCGGAAGCCACATCTCCGCCCATACCTACACCTTAATTCCACTCCCAACCCCGCGTCGTGTCCATTCTAAAATAATATGACGACCTTCAAAAATACCCCTCCAAAATATAAGAATGATGCCATTCTAATTTAGTTTCCTTGAAACCCGAGCTAGGAAAATACTTGATTTTGAAATTCTAACTCACTAGGCTATTCAGTTATGTTAGGAAGCGCTACATCTGTTTAGTCAACATTGTTACATTTATCTCTCATATATTGTGGAAGCGTAAACCACCAAGCTCTTCGGTTCTATTAGAAAGTGCTACACCTGTTTAGTCAACATTGTTGCTACATCTAACTGCTATATACTTTGCTAGCATAGCGATATTTATTTTACAAATAAAAAAGAACCAAGAACTCAGACCGATTCGGGCCGTTTCAAACGGGGTGGGTAAGTTCCGGTTCCAATTTCAAGACTTGGAATATCCGGACCAAAGTTACCCGTTAAATATTTAAATAGAACCGACGGTTCTTGAAAATTTATCAATTACCTGAACCAACCCCGGGTCGTGCCCACCCCTGATTGAATCTAGATTATTTGTGGATTTTTGGCCTACTTTTTAATTCGTTGGTGGAATTCAAGAAAAAAACATTAAATGTAAAACTCTGAAAGAGTAGCATATGCGTTAATCACGTATATGAAAGTTTACACTGGCTAAATTTATTGTTGTGATTAATCACGTACATGAAAGATTTTTATACATATGTATATATAGTTTGTTTTGGTAAGAGAAAACTATCAAATAGGCCCTCGTACTTTGGCCAATTTCTCAATTAAGCCCTCGTACTTCCGAATCACTCAATCACACCCGCGTACTCAGCAAAACCAACCAATCAGCCTTTTTAGCCAGTGGCCACCCGCTTAGGCGGTTAATGGCTGACATGGACTCCAGCCTGTCCCTCCCCTTACCTGACACTTAATTCTGACATGGATATTCCCATTCAGACAAATCCTTATCCTTCCTTCAGACCTAGGTTAATCCACATCAGACAAATCTTTCTCCTTCTCCATTCTCCATCTCTGCGACTGTGTGCCATTTGACGAGCCTTCGCAAGTATATCGTCTTCATCATCATCAACGTTTGTAAAAGAACGCAGTCGTACCTTTGACTACGAGCCAACGGTTCATTGTTGGTGTGGAATGAAAGCTCCACTATGCGGTGGTCGAGAGAGCGGGAGAAGCTTTTTTGGGTGTCAAAAATTGAAGGTTGGTGTATGATGTGGCTGTGTGGTTTTGATTTACGGTTGCCCTTTAACGAAGCAACCATCCAACCCTATCACCTTCCTACACCCTTCCAAGAATCCCCTTTTCACAGGTCCAAAACACATGTATATTCGTTGGAAAACCATAAGAGCATCAGGTACTACTCTATCTGTCTTAATTACCACTGTACTGCCGGGAATTTCCTTCAGTATTTCCTCTCTATAGTTTCTAACTTTCTTGAATTGGTCCTTAAAAGCACACTGGGTTTTATCTTGCATGATTTTCAGAGCTCTTGTTGCCATACTAATTGAGACATTCAGCTTATTCTCATCCCTAAGCAATTTTTTTTAACTCTGCAGCACCCATGGAGGGATTCTCAATCAA